ACCTAAAAATATCAATCTACAAGAATAGACAGTTGCTAAAGGTTTACAACAGTCTTAAAGCCAGTTGACCTAGAAAGCCAACAAATCACTAGTAACCCATTATATGTGCAAATCACTTCACAATTCCCGAAGAAATATCAGAGTCTTATCTGATCCTTGAGTTTGTGAGGGGTTCGGAATTAAGTACTATATGCTCAGTTTACAAAAGAAAGTGGCTCTGAACACCATGATTTACCCAAGGGCATGTTAATCACTAGCAGAGACGAGGACAGCACCCAGGTGTTGGGAATCTTAATGAATGTACATTCTACTACATCAGTACACCTAAAATTTTCATAAATCCCTAACGCCTACTGCAAATTTCAAGTGCTGATTATAATCAATGAAGTAGTTTCAATTTATCAAGAGAAATACAATAACTATGATTAAGAAACAGAATGACTTCCCCTCGTCATAGCATATATTTATAGCTCTTGAACTTAATGATTCTAATCAGATGGAAAGCTTAATGAGAAAAAGCAGAACTGTAATGAAAATGAACCACAGAAAACAATGTGATAGCAATGTGCTTTGATACCTAATAGACTGTTTTTGATTTTTTTTTAAATGCCATAAAGTTTTTGTTTGTTTGTTTTTACCTTTTCTACGGCAGGCACAAATTGCTTTGGAACATTTGACCCGAATGTTTCATCTGAAAACTCCAACTTAGTGTAGTTCTCTGGGTCCAGAGGCTCCAGTACACCTATCACTTTTCCAAACTGGCCTGCACCACCTGATTGTTTTTTATGTGTAAACTCAAACCTGAAAGTAATTTAGGAAGAAGAAAAAATCAACATAGCATTATATAATCACCAAAATGAAATAACTCCTACTAATTTAAATGAAAAACCACCTCTCATCATTTTTACTTTTTCCTTCAAATACGATGGCCTTGCTATAAAATTATTATAGAATTTATTTAAAAAGTAATCCTGTCCTTTCTGTTCTTACTTGGAGGTGAGGGTGAGGCACACCACCAAAGTAATCCATGGTTTTAATTCTGCTAATTCTGAATTTCACAAGTAGAAAGTAAAAGTCAACAAATTAAAATAAAAAGTTTGTGTAAGGTTCTTATTCTATTAATAGTAATCTACATTCCAAGAGCTTACCCATTTCTTTTGGAATGCCTCCCTTCCCTGGGACACAGTGTTCTCTCCTTAAATCTCTATGAGGACAATTACCTGAAAATAGGAGCTATGCAGTTAGTTCATTGAGATAGTTGCTATTTGATTTTACAACTTGTACACTATGGACTGAGAAAATATGAGAGAAGGGAGTTTCAGGCGGAATAACTAACACCTGAAAATGATTAATGGCAAAATGATCATGATTAACATAAGTCATTGAAATAGACACACAGGGCTTCCCTGGTGGCGCAGTGGTTGAGAGTTCGCCTGTCGATGCAGGGGACACGGGTTCGTGCCCCGGTCCGGGAAGATCCCAGGTGCCGCGGAGCGGCTGGGCCCGTGAGCCATGGCCGCTGAGCCTGCGCGTCCAGAGCCTGTGCTCCGCAACGGGAGAGGCCACAACAGTGAGAGGCCCGCATGTTGCAAAAAAAAAAAAACAAACCAAAAAACAAACAAATAGACACACAGGTCAGTGTTTACTTGAAACTACTAATGACAATATAAATAGGATGAAATAATCACCTTACACGCATACTAAATATACGTAAACACAGGTTACAATATCATTGAAAAAACATTTCATGAGTATCTACTGTTTGCAAGGCATTTTTCCTTTAAACTGAAACCTTCCTCAAGACCGTAAGATGTAAGAAGCTGGCTGCTTTCAAAGGTGTCTGCAGATAACTGCAGGTAAATGGGCATTAATGAGTGTGTGTTCCTGCGTACAGATCTGTGAATGGTTTGGAAGAAGTAAACAGCAAATTTCAGTAGATGTCAGCTTGGAATAAGCAGTTTCCATAGAGAGCCGAAGCGTGAATGTGCCTGATGAACTGCCTTTAAATAATCTTCCAGCAGCCAAGAGCTTCAGGATAGGCTGGGAAACAATGCTGAACGGTTGATTTTCCCGGGAGAGAAACAAACAGCTATCAGAACCGAGAGCAGGAAAAGGAGAAGAGAAACAACTGCCAAATCACCACAGAATTACTGAAGGGATTCCAAAACTGTGGTCCACTGACGTATTCTCTAGTATGCTCAAGTTCTCTGAGACATTTCAAATTGTTTTCAATTTGACAATAATATGACATACAACATACTCTAGATCTGTGCTGTCTATATGATAACCACTAATCATGGATATTTACATTGAAATTAAATAAAATTTAAAATTCAGTTCCTCAGCTGCACTAGTCACATTACAAGTGGTCAACAGGCAGGTGTGGAGAGTGGCTACTGTCCGGGACAGCAGAGCCAAACATTTCCATCACTGCACAAACTGCTACTGGACAGCAGTGCCCTGGAGGGCCAGATCACAGCCAAGCAATCCCTGCAGTTTCAGGGACCATGGCTGCGTTTATAATCACGTGGATGCCAAATAACAGGACACTTATGTGCCAGGCTTGTGCTAAGCACTTTTTATGAACTGTCTTACTTGTTCTTCACCACAGACCCCAGGAAGTAGGCACTATTTTTTATTATTATTTTACAGGTGAGAAACCTGAGGGTCAGAAAAGCTAAGTAACTTGCCAAACGTGATACAGCTCTTAAGTGGCAGAGCCAGGATTTGTACCAAGACCAACACTCTTAATCAAACATGTTTCTAAAAGGCTAATAAGAATATAAACTGATTTAAGCTGCACACGATGCATTCACTTCAAAAGCTGTTAGAAAACACTGCACAGAGAGATTTTACTGTAGCTTAAATAGAGAAGTGGAAGAACTAAGACATCACTTGATAGGCACTGAATAGATATGCTGAAGGCAAAAGAATCCATGCTCCTGTGGTCAGACCACTGGAATTTTGTAAAAGACAATTTCATTTTGACAAAACATCATCATCTCTCACATTAAAATTACTGTTAATTAGAATTGTGTTGGTTTTATTGTATATCTCTGTTTTGTAGATTTATTTTGACTTCGTAGTCTTATCAAAGTTGCAAGCCATAGGCGTTTTTACTTAAGTTTTATGTCCATACAATTATTTAAAATAATAATTTAATTTGCCCGATCCCAGAGACCCATAATAATTTTGCTACTTTCAAGGTAACTCATACATTATTCAAGTTTGCAGATAATGATCTCTTGACTTACCACTAATGAAATTTTAGTAAGTAAGATTTCAAGGACTCAAATATAGGAATAAGATTCTCTCAATGCAGTTTATTTACGTAACATCTAAATAGGCAGTTTAAAAACATTAATATAATAATTATATTTTAAAAAGAACCTAAATTGGTATGTGTACTTTTAGTAAATAAATGCCTGATATGTCACAACCTCTGTTACTAGCCTTGATCGACAGAGATGGTAACTGTATCCGTAAAGCTTCAAAAGGGTGATTTCATCTAGGAAGCTCACATATTGTACTCCTCACAACTCTAACTGGTAATAAAACAGATGTTAACTAGCTACTTGTGAAAACTTCAAAATTTCATTATCAGCAAAAAAGCTCTTTCTGGGTAATTAGAATGTATTAGGCCACTCCTTCTTGGACACTATCAAAGGAGCACATAATTCATACAACTAACACACAAATACAATGACAACCTAAGAGGTTGGCTGATAGATGAATGACTCACACCCCCACCCCCCGCCCCCGCCCCAAAACAGAAAAACAAGCTTCAACTTTTTATAAAAAGCCTTGAGGAGAAACTAACCCTTTCATCCTCTAGTTACTTGATGGTTGTTGGCTAATATAATTAGAAAGAATGGGAATGCCTTACTACTTACTATTCTTTAAAAATCTACTTACTCCAAATACTTTATTTATAAATAAATAAAAAAGGGTATTTGAGGAAAACAACACATTACAAATACATTTTTGTTAACTTTTTTTTTTAAAAAAGCAACACAATATATGTCTACCCAAGGAACCTTCAAAATTCGTTTTGGGAAAATAGCAAAGAGTCTTTATTTCTAAGCCAACAAGCTACAGTGTCAGTTTGGCTATACATTTGATGAAAAGAAATCTTAGCTGGTAGATCTACAGCAAATCCAAAGAACAGCCTAGATTATAGTTCCTTTAAAGCTCACAGGAGGTAATTAAGAGATCTGGAGAGTAAAAATGCACTGCCTACTAAAAGTCTGTGCTTGCTTAAGGAGCTTTAAAAACTGCTTTTGTTAGAAGTTACTTCAATGTAGTGCTTTGTATAAATTCAGTTTTTAAGTAAGTTTTAATCCTCAAAGTAAAATTTTCAAAGTGATTCAGAAAGTTGGAAGCATGGTGTGATATCAAAACCTCATCTTTCGAAGATCAGCAAAGGGAGAGGAGTGCAAGTACCTTTTAAAATTCTCCTGATCTAAATTACATAATCCTCCAAATTAACGCTATCGTTTGCAGTCTCTCGTACCCTGATTTGGGCTGAACTGATACACCACCACAGAAAGCTGGGTATGAGCAAGCCTGTTCCTGGCCAGGGAAGGGAAAAGAAGGAATCACAATGACTCACTACCTGGCGCTCCTTTGTACTTTGCCCCGTGCCGGACACTGTGGATGGTGTATAAGGAAGTTGCGCTCGTGCCGGACACTGTGGGTGGTGTATAAGGAAGTTGCGCTCCAGTCTGCAAGTAAAGTAACCAGCCTCCTTCCACGAAGAGTAAACTTGAAGCCCCAGAGACTCTCCACTAAGGCGAAGGCCCGAAAGCCCCTCCCCAAGCTTCTGTAAAGGTTAATAAAAGGAAGGATGTAGTCCCTGACAACCCAGCCCAACGACTCCCTCCTCACCCCCCCTTAAAGGAGGAGGGGGCTCTCTCTAAACAGGGACCAGAGAGTAACAGTAGGCGGTAGCAGGGCGGGGCTCCAAGAGCAGCCTCGGTAGGAGCCACCTCCCAGGCAGCGGCTTGCAGAATCGGAAGGAGGGAGACAGGGAGGGAAGGAGGGAAGGAGGAAGACAGGGAGGGAAGGAGCTGGCGGCCCCGCCCCAGGCCCCGCCCAGCCCGAAGAAGGAGGGCTGACTTTTCCGCCCGGGGGACTCGGCAGCAGGCAGGACGGGGGTGCCCTTCCCTTCCTGTGAAGCTCGAGCAGCCCCACGCAAGCCCAGCCGCCGCTCACCAAGAATGGCAATCCCTCCGACCCACTACCCGGCCTCCAGGGCGGCCTCGGTGGTAGAGAGCTGCATCAACTACCAGCAGGGCAGCCCCCACAAGGTGTTTCTGGTGCAGACAGTCAAACAAGCCAGCCTGCAGGTGAGTCGGGCAGAGGGTGGTGGCGGCACCTGCTACCGTTCCCCCCACCGTCGAGGGTCTCAGCTCCACCTGCTCCTGACTCCCCACACCCCTTGCCCGTTTTGGGCCTCAAGGCTAGCTGTCTCTCTAGAGGAGTTGGCTTTTCTGGGCTTGGGCTACACTCCAGTCTCTGGGGACAGCCCCAGGGCTGTTTGTTGTTTTTACGGGAAGGCAGAGACACTGATGGTTTTTATGGGCCCTGCTACAAGGAAATCGGTAAATGTTCTCAATTGGGGCGGCTTCTCCAAGTCCTTTCCCCAAGTGAAACTTATAGGAATCATTTTCAAAAGGATCTTAAAACTGGCGCTATGTTTAGCATCTACTACTCCAATCTGGGCCAAGAGAAGCTCCCGTCTTGCAAAAGATTCTTCACTGCCTGAATTTTAAGATCAATCCTTTATTAGACTCTTAGACCAAAATGAAGGGGTAAACAAAAAGCAACAGAAACTGACAAAGCAGAGTAAAAGTACTGTGGCCTGAAGCTTCACTTCAACCATCCAAACACTACTGCCAGTGACTGCTGTGAATGATGGGCCCCCTCTGGCTAAAGGGTTAAATTTAAACTGCTCAAGACCTCAGCAACCACTAAGCTTGTTTCCGTTTTACTAAAATCTAATAGATTTGAGACTGTCCCTTATTTATCTGACAGAAGTTTAACTGCTAACAGTCTTTAAGAGCTGACAGGGAGTAAATGTTATTTCAAAACCACACAACATAATTAGGTACAAATTCTCCATTACATCTTGATTCAAAAGTGAAATATCTAAACGTCTGTCTGTTATAAAATTTGTTAACGCATCATTTTGCAGGTCCACTAACATACAAGTAAAAGCAGTACTTAACACTCTCTAACCACTTCGCAGTATGCTGCCTCAAAATGGAATTCATCTTCATTGAACACTATTTGGAGGGTACATAAGGGTTTATGAAAAGGCTTTTCAATGGTGCATCCTATTTGTCACCTTTAGAATTAAAATTTTCAAAATTTCTTACGTGGAATTTAGGATCACAGATCCAGAGGTTAGAGTACTCTGATGACTGAAAGTGAATTATAACCGATTTTATTTATATATGCTTTTATCTCACCCTCTTGTTCTCAACCAAAATAACCCTGCTAGAGGACCTGCTAAATTAGATGTCACAAACATGGTGACATTCTTTGGTCAAGGTGTAAGGCCTTAATCATTTACCCCCAACAGTCAGCACCATGCCCAACCAAATGAGAATGGGTTCTTCTAACAATGTAAAGAAATTGAGTTATTGTTATAATAACACATTTTCTTAATTTTAGGATATTCCGGGAAGAGGACGAAAGTATTGCCTTAAATTTTCTGTGGAAGAAATTATCCAAAAAGTAAGTGAAATGTCATGTTATTATGAAATAAAATTTGATTCCTAATATTCCATATCACCTCTGCTGATCAAATCATAGGGTTAATTTGGTTTTTAAAAGAGTTGTTGTAAAATCCCTGCCTCAAAAAAAAAATGATCACCATACAAAGGTCAGTTTTTACTTTTTGTGTATTCTGAGATACACTTAGTATTTCTATCACACTGTTTAGAAAAGAGACTCTATATACTTCAGTTCAAATAAACTTCCTTTAAAAATGTTACATACTCACAGGCCAGTATGAATTTATGCCTAATATGAACAAGTGTAATAATGAACTCTACAATCATCATCACTTTTTAAATGTCTGTTTCATTCTGTTTTTCATTTCTTTTATTTAAAGAAAGCAAGTGCTTTCTGAGATATTTATGAGCAATAGAATGGCCAACTGATACCACTGTGTTCAGATAAGAATCTTTCAGTAATGGGGCAGGGAAATTTAAAAAATACATACACCTGTCAAATTATTAATGAGACAAACTTAAAAGGAAGGAACTGCCACTTGTACCATAACCATCCTGAGATTTAAAAAAGCTTGCCCTTTTGTTAAGCATAATTAAGAAGAGATACAGGCTAACATAAGGAGATTCGTTAAAAGGCATTTGAGCTGCTTGATAGTCATCTTTACAAAGCAGAACCAACGCTACAATCTTCTCATTTTATATTTGGATATAGATTGCAGAATCTGAGTTTGAAATTTCTGTTATTTCAGGAGGAGAGAATAAGAGTAATGGACAGACTTAAAAAAAGTAACCAGAGTCTAGAGTTGGTATATAAAGACAGACTAAACTCTGCCTTACAAATGGACTTCCCATTAATACTGAAATACATAGTTTAAAATGAATTTACAAGATTATGAGACCTTATATGTTATAAAATAAGTTACCTATTTTAGATACCTCTAAGAAAATTATTGGGCCACCACCAGTTAGATACCTCTGGAATAGGTACACTCAGGTCAAGTCTGAAACAACATCATTAGGGGGGCGATGCTTTAAATGTTATAACTCAAAGAACAATAATCAGTAATGGATGTCCATCTACATGTAAAGATCTTTCACAAAATGTTTCAAACAGCAAGTTACAGTGAATTGCACAGCTGAAGTACTGTACCCTCCAATGGGACAAGATACCGCACCAGAAGTCAACTTCACATTTGAAGGAGAAATTGGAAAGAACCCAGATGAGGAAGATAACACATTTTATCATAGACTCAAGTCTATGAAGGAACCACTAGAAGCACAAAATATTCCAGGTATATAACTATATGGCACGGAAAAATTTTTTTTTCGACTTTAAGATCAATATCAATTACCTATGCTCAAAATTGTTAGATGTTAACATTATGCTGGCAATATACTGACTTTTGCAAAAATATTTATTACTAATCTAATTCAACAACAAAAAAGCCTTGAAACTTTATAGATTAATCTATGGCTTAATTAAATTAATTACTTTCTGTACACATTTGAAGAAAACTAAGACATGACTTAAAATTTAGATTTTTTTTAAAGGTTAATACTGTATATATAAAATAATTCCATTTATCATATAAATGTTTCCCTCACCAGACAGTTTTGGAAATGTACCTCAAGAAATGAAGCCAGTTCAACATTTAGCCTGGGTTGCCTGTGGTTATATAATATGGCAAAATTCCACTGAAAATACATGGTATAAAATGGCAAAAATTCAAACTGTCAAGCAAGTGGTAAGTAATTTCTATAAAATACACTATTAACAGATTTAATATTTACTGAAGGTGTTATAATTCATGATTGGATGAATAGTGCCCCTTTAGTCATTTTGTATTTAAGATAGTGAAGTCAGTATTTGAAGGAGAAGTCAGTTATCAAGGCTAGAGAAGGTGAAGCTGCAGTTTCAAGAGAGTGAAGTCTTGAATTATAAATAATTTGGCAATAGTTTTTGTGTGCAGCTTAATACAGATTATTTCCTTTTGCAACCTAAGTTTTGTGTTCAAATTACTATAATCATGTGATACTGAAACCACCTCTGCTTTTCTCCTCTAGTGAAATGGTAGTGTCAGAGCTAGAGATATGGCTGGATTTTTTTCCCCCAGGATCAGCTGGAACAAAAATATTAGCATCTCAGTCTTTGTGAAGCTTGCTGTATATAATTATCTTTTATAACCCATTTAGTCATAATTGACAACCTCATATCTTACTTGTTGCTAGCCTTGTATTTTAAGTCTGATATGACTATTCCAAACTGCCTCTTTCTAGACCTTAAAGAGATTAAATTCTTTGAGTTTAGCTTTATTAAGAGGTTTAAAAGAAAAACAAAATATGTCAACTAATAGTATTCAATGGAATACAAGAAAAATACTCTGTAAGAGAAAAGCACTTTCCATTGGCTTGTTTCAGTTTGTTGATAACAAACTGCAAGGCAGTTGGAGCACCTTTACTCCACAAGCTTTTGCAGCCACTTATTAGATAACTTTGGACACTGGAGGACAGGATACCAATTACAGTACTCAGAGTGTAATGCCAAATACCTAGCATCACTATCTATAACACTTTAAGAGAGCCTTTTTCTAATGCATTTTTGTAGATAGCAACCTTGGTTACAACACTCCTACAGGGGCACTGAGGCTCAGATAATTGAGTAGCTGGGTCCACGTTACAGAGGATATACAATCACAATCATGATTTTCAAGCCATGTTTTTATAGCAAAATATGCAGTGTTACTGCTTTATGAAATAAATTTCCTGTAACCCTTCACTAAATTGAAGTTTTAAAGCATTAATGAAAATCCCAACAGAAGAGTTTAACCACTGCTTCAGCGTGTATATATTATATATCTTTACCTATTATGATCCAACACGTAAGAAACCTTCCTGATTTTTACCTTATCCTTAAAGGACATTCTTTGTTGATATAGTCAAAGAAGGGATTGCTTCAAGATACTATTAAGGAGAGAAGAGTACAGTTTTATTTGATCCTGGGGCCATATTTATAATTACTGTCAACCAAAGGAGCCACAGGAGTTTGTGCTGCCTCTTGGAGTCTAGGGCTTGTTTCAATACATCAGTTATAAGCCTTAAAGAGCCTTGGGTGAGTACAGCAAATTTCTGACGACCATGGTTTGAAACTCTGTAGATGCAATATTTCTGTGCAGCTGATAGTATAAATACTTTATATGTCCAAAGCAATAAGCAGCATAGATCAAAGCTTTAGTTACAAAATCAAACATTACATTTTATTATTTTCAGTTTTTTAAAAGAGAATTTCTATTATAAAATTGGTTTCCTTTAGTGTAAACTCTCATTTCAGTAGTTTATATCCCTTAAACGATGCTTTTCTGAATAATGGAAACATTAGGGAATTTAAATGACAAATTATAGACTCTAATGTTCTTAGTAGCTACCACAACTCAGAAACTAAAAACAGAAAGGGTAAATGATTTTTAGAGTAACAAATTTTTTAAAAATCATGATTTTAAAATGTAGTTTGAAAAAAAATCTTATTTATAAGAGAATAGTTTTTCTGCCAGGCTAAATAAATTATGACATTCAATTTTTAATTTTACTTAAGTGGAAGTATTACTGTCATCTACTAATGAAAGCTGATTCTTAAAATTATCATTTTTGCCAATGATATCAAGTTTTAAATGCGGGTTTTTATTTTTTATTATAGCAAAGAAATGATGACTTCATTGAGTTAGACTACACCATTCTACTTCATGACATTGCATCTCAGGTAGAGTATCATTTTCCTTTACTTGATGCTACTTTGAAAATTGAGACTCATTTTGTAGCCACAGTATGCCTTATTAATTTTGACTCTAAATCAGAATTCATATAAATTCAAATAGGCACCAGGTTGAAATATATTACACTTGCAGCAATTTAACTTGTTTTGTGCTTTCTTTATGAGGACTGTTTTGTTTCTAACAAAATATAAACCCAACTGTTTCCTTAAATGTTTTCTGAATTTTATCATAGCATCGGTTTCCTTTACTTGCAGGAGATTATTCCTTGGCAAATGCAAGTTCTCTGGCATCCACAATATGGTACTAAAGTAAAACATAATAGCCGTCTACCAAAGGAAGCACAATTGGAATAAATGAAGACTGTAACATTCGATGAAGTATAAACATGCTTATTAATGATGTGTATACCAGTCTCCATTGATATCTAGCTTAAAGGGTCAGACAAATCTCGTAAGTGTCCCTTTGTATAAACGGCCTGAACTACAGAACTATATAGCTTCCATAATAAAGAGCATCACAATGTAAAAGTGTCTTATCAACAGTAATAGTGCTATGTATATCCCCTAATAAAAAGCTTTAAATTCCAGCCTCATAGTTTATGTTTAATCGTTTTGCATACTTACGGGACAGGGGCCGTAATGGTTTCTCTGAAAGCAACTTTTGGCTTTCCTGTGATACAAGGACAGCCATATTCTCTTTCCATCCTCTAAAAAGAGCAGGAGAGATCTTTTTGATATATTTAAATTAAAAAAAAAATAAACTAAAGGAAGAAAAATCCTAAGAATCTCAACTACCTTAGAAGCATTCATTTAAATATGATAAGCAAATGATAAATCTTAAATCACTTAAGTACCTTATGAGGATAAATACATGATATTAAGCAATACAAACTGCTTTTACAGATTTTATATAAATGAATTCTAATTTAGAATGATTAATTTATACTTACCTCCAATTAATCTATCCACTAAAACTTTATCTTTGCTCCATTTTATTACATATTTACTGGAATAGTATATGAATCTGCTGTCATAATTTTCTACTATCTCAACTTCAAAGATATAATCAGAACCAGAATTTTTAATCGTAAGTCACATATATTTTGTTTTCGTTCACATACACACAAGACCTTTCCTAGGTAAGCAGGAGCCCCATCTACCCACTTGTTTATCTCCATTATAATGATCTTCAAGTAGTGACTTGAGAAGAAAACAGGCAAGAAATGGCCTGAAGAGTGGGTACTGGTGGGCCGATTTCTCAGCAGGTTTCTCTCTGAGGTTGTCTTCCTAAGGCTGAGACCAGGATACACTCGACCCAAGGGACCATAACCTAGGGATGGATCAATGGTCTTACTGCAAATCCCCTGAGCCTTGATTCTAGAAGTCTGCAATGTTTTACGAATAAAAAGATTTAGAAACCAAAAGTAATTAATTAGTAACACACACTGGAAGAAGCAGTATACCACATCTAGATACAAAAACCAGAGTGAAGCTTGAAGAACCACTATTATTTTACAACCATTAGATTGAGAATTATCGACTTTTAACAAAACATAGACATAAATAAAGTGAATTTAACTTCTTTGTTATTCATTACCTGAGCATAGATTTCCAGGTGTAATTCTCCCATTCCAGATACAATTGTCTCTTTGCTCTCAGTGTCAAAGTGGACTTTAAATGTGGGATCTTCTCTTGTAAACCTGCCAATGCCTTTTGAAAATTTTTCCAGATCATTCTTTAAAAAAAGAAAATCATTACACATTTTACTAAGCATGGTAAGCAATGAAATTGTTGAAAAAACTTTAATGAATGAAATCAAATACATGAACAGTTAAAAAATAAAAATGATCTACCATCTAGTTTCTAGGCTATATCCTTTTAATATGAGAGCTTGGATACCACACAGCCAAGACAGCAGGGAACAGCTAACTGAGAGAATTTTCTTTTCACACCAAGATACAGGAGTCCAAGACTTAACTCTATGCCCTTTCCTATTATATTGACAAAAACTGTCCATTTGTGGAAAACTGCCCATAAAGCGGAAAGCAGAATCTGTGTTACTGTGTTATATTTTAGAAATCCTATACATAATCAAAGGAATCAGCATGGTTACCAAGATTCTACTGTAGATTCAAGAGGGCAGTTAAGACCAACACTAGGCAAATGCACATGAGACCTCTCCCTTTCAAAACTATCTGCTTGGATGCGGTTTGATGCACCTTTATTCTCCTTAGATGTAACTTCCTTATGTGGTAAGCAGAATAATGGTCTTCTAAGGACATGCCCTAATCCCCCCCAAACCTGTGACTGTTACCTTACACGGCAAAGGGGACTCAGCAGATGTAAGTAAGGTTACAGACTTTGAGATGGGGAGATGATCATGAATAATCTGGACAGGCCCAATTAAATTGCATGGGCCTTTAAAAATGGAAGCTGAGGGACTTCCCTGGTGGCGGGCGCAGTGGTTAAGAATCCGCCTGCCAATGCAGGGGACACGGGTTCAATCCCTGGTCTGGGAAGATCCCACATGCCACAGAGCAACTAAGCCTGTGCACCACAACTACTGAGCTTGCGCTCTTAGAGCCCACGAGCCACAACTACTGAGCCCACACGCCACAACTACAGAAGCCCATGTGCTCTAGGGCCCATGTGCTGCAACTACTGAGCCTGCATGATGCAACTACTGAAGCCTGCATGCCTAGAGCCTGTGCTCCGCCACAAGAGAAGCCACTGCAATGAGAAGCCTGTGCACTGCAATGAAGAGTAGCCCCTGCTCGCCGCACATGCACAGCAACGAAGACCCAATGCAGCCAAAAAAAATTTTTTTTAATAAAATAAAATAAAAATGGAAGCTGAATGAAGAAAGGTAGTGGAGAGATGGGAAGAGAAAAAGAAGAGACAGGAGATATTTGAAACATGAGAGGGGCTCATTTTGCTGTTGCTGGCATTGAAGACAGGAGGAAGGGGGCTATGAGCAGCCTCTAGAAGCTACAAACAGCCCTCAGGTGACAGCAAGGAAATGAGGACCCCAGTCCTACAACAAGGAGCTGAATTCTACCAACAATTTGAGTAAGCAAGGAACTAAACTGTCCCCTAGAGCCTCCAAGAAAGAAACAACACAGCCTTGCCAATACTTGATTGTAGCCCATTAAGAACTGTGTCCGAATTGTGGCCTACACAACTGTAAAATAATACATCTGCTGTTTTAAGCCACTAAGTTTTTGCTAATTTCTTACAGCAGCAATAGAAAACTAACACGCCCCAATCACCAATATTAACAGCTATCACATGTGGCTGAAGATGTGTTATGTGTTTTGTATACGTCATCTCAAATTCTAACCACAAGGCTGCATGACAGAATTATCCATGTTTTACAGGTGAGGAAACTAGGTACAGACAAGTTGCTCAAGTCCACAGAGCTAGCTGGGCTTGAATCCTGGGTTAGTCTATCTCCAAAGTCTTTTCCCTTTTTCCTGCACTAGCCAGGGACTCTCAACTTACTAGAAGATCACCCCTGCCCCACTACTGAGATTCAGGGTTTTATGCAGTGATTTTATTATTTGATATATATTAATTCTCCAGGAAGCAGACAACCCCAAGACACCAAAAAACCTTTTGAATATTGATGTGTTTGATTTCCCTCCATGATTGTGAACTATCAACAGTTAAATGTCTTACATGAACTCTGGAGTTAGGAATAAAGAAGAAGAATATTTTTAACTTCTAGTCCTTCATCTTCTGAAGGGAAAAGCAACCAATCTGGCAAAGTACTTGGAGCAAACTGTGGCATCTCACTGTGGTAAGATGTAAAGCTCGCCTTTCAACTTTCTGAGATAGAGTGACTGAACGTTTTCTGCCACCTCAACATTCTCTTTTCTATAATGAGAAGGGCCTGGAAAATCTCAGTTCCTCAAAATAGATGAAGTAGTTGCTGTTAATATATCCACAAGACAATAAATCAGAATACGTTCTGTAAATGATAGTACCCAGATGACAAGAAATCATAAAATGTTCACTCAATGCATGAATGAGTTAATGTCAATATATCATGTTAAAATGACTGTTATGAATGTAACTAACTTAAGAACTAAACAATTATGTTTCAAGATCAGGACTAATTCCAATGACAAGCAATGCATATGCAGAACCTATTCAAGCAATTTTGGCTAAAAAGCTAAATGACATCAAATCCAATCATAAAACTTTGTATTTGAAAGTGAGTCAAAACAGTCTTGTTTGAAGGCCTTCCATGTTATAGTCAGACATTTACTTCATAACTACCACAGATGTAGAGATGTATTATAATCCATGAGGCAATTAATCTAAGCAATATTTTAATATACTTTACAGTGAGGTTTTTCTGCAACTTAGGACAAATGCCTCAGTTGCCTCTCTTCCATCTCTTATGATCTGAATCTAGGAAGTTACTCACACTTAACACTCCACAGCCAATGATATACCTTTACTATAGTAAAGAGTTATAAAGCACAGTCTCATGAATACTTTAATACCATCAACTTCTTCAAATATACTGTGAAGAACTTACTACTAATAGACTGGTAAATTTTAAAAGGTGATCTGAATACCAAAAGAGGAAATAGAGACCAAAAGACTGCTGGTTATCACAAGACACCACGTGCATTGTGGAGACAGACAAAAAAGAGCTCAAGTTTTTACTGTGATATACTGAGCGTTAAATCAAACTCCTACCTTGTTAGAAGGCTTCATTGCTATTGAAATGACAGGATCAGGAACATGAATTGACTCCTAAAATATTTTTCAAAGAACAGAGAAGAATTCAAATACAGTACCGTATGTGTCAGGGATGGATTAATTTTAATGTTCTCCTTTACAACAGAACAAAAGACAAATACTAGTCAACATCTTAGGGTAGACAAATATATCTTGGTCTGTTTTTCCTTAAATAAATGAATATATTAACATATATAGGTGTCCACTTATATGATCTCCTCCCTCCCAAAATAACAAAAATAAAGCATCTATTTACTTAACTGTTTCAGACCCTTAAGTTTGTTGACACTTTCAGTTTAACATAATCGTTACATATAATGAATTCAAATGCTGAGATGTGGAATACTTATTAGCTAGTGGCTACATCTGCTATAGCTATCTTCTGATAAGTTATTTAATCAAAATATACTGCCATCACTGATAAGAGAAGCAGAGAAAGGGACTAGATTCTTTACACATATGATATCTCATTTAATCAGTCACAACTCTGAGAGGCAGATATTATTATCCCCATTTTACAAATAGAAGCATTAAAGGCTTGGCAAGAAGAATAACTAACTTGGCCAAGGGCCAGCAGGTAGCACAGGGCAGAGGTAAGACTGACCAGGGTCTATTTGCCTCAATGCCTGAGTACTTCCCACAACCTCCAGTCCCTTCATATTGGTAATGACAAGTTTAGAAAAAACCTTATCAATAATACTTGTCAAAAAGTCCCCTTATCTAGATCCCCCAAAAACCTTTACAGATTTATGATTTTTGTAGTGTCCTAACTTCACATGTAAAACCATAGACATTAGAGAGTATTTTATACAAAAAAGCTAAATTATAAAATTAA